ACAGCTGTTTCGTCCTATAGTGGTACTCCTCATCAGTGAGCATCTATAATCCTGTTCATGGGATTTGAATCCAAGATCTATCGATCTCGTGCACAAACACTTAACCTCTAAACAACTAAATCATCATCTAACAGTGTTAATATCCTTCATTATCTTCAATAACTAACTGTCTCATATTAGTTATGATATTAATAATCATAATTATAATCATAGTAATATGTATGTTTTTATTTTGATAATGAAATTCATTCATGCATTCTATGATACAACTTAAATTATTCACCTTAATAATTATTATTTCATTCATCATTGATTTTTAAAGAGTTAATAGGAGTGTAAGGTTCTTTTCTTTCTTTTTTTTTCTGAAAAAAAAGAAAAAAAGAGAAAAGAAAAGCAGCAACCACAACAACAACAAGAAGGGGGGGGGGGAACACATGTCTATATATTTTCTGCTTTCCCTAAAAAAGAAAGATAAGTTCGTATATGTTTCGTTTTCTTTTCTTTTTCTTTTTCTCTTTTCTTCCTTATATATGTAGGTAGTCTCTATGAAAAAAGCTTATTTTTGTACACATTGTATAATAATAATAGTAATAGTAATAGTGACCCCCACCTCTCACATACACAGAGACACAGTGGATATCTATCAGGGAACAGAAAAATGATAGTCTTCTATATACATCTATCTATTCGAATACCCAATAACAAATCCCGGAAATTATACCCTGTCACAGGAAGTAAGGTTGACTACTGAAATCTAAAATTATTTTTTTTTTAAAAAAATAACACAAACTGGAAACAACATTGATCAAGGAAGAATTCTGCAAGGAAATTTACATATATGTATATATTACTCATTAGTAATATCGATACAACAGGAAATTCTCCTCGCTCTCTCTCTCTCTTTGTCCCCGTCTCTCTCTCTCTGTGTGTGCCCCCCTCTCACTCTCTCTTTGTGTCAACATCTAACTCGGTGTCTATATATGTTTTAATGTATCCGTAAAGCAGGTATACAAGATAAAAACTAAATTGTATAACTAGAAACATGTTAGATGTTCCATCATTATAATTCGATATAAGTAGTATAGTTATTTAGATAGATTTCTATTTAAGTTTAGATTTAGTTTATTTCCTTTATTTCAATGATGATTAGTTTTATTTTTAAATTTGACAAGATGATTAGAATAGTTGACATGATTTTGAAAGAACAAAAAGGAAAGATCTCTGTTTTCTACTCTGTGATAGGTCAAATAATACCAATGTCAATGTTACCAGTATAATCAATGCTTATTTAGATAGATGGATAAAGAGATAAATTCAGAAAAAGTGAAAACAATCTTCTATTCATTTGTACAATAAATAAAAGATAGAATAACCAATAATTTGATCATTAAAGTATAATTTATATAATATAAGGATGATGAATAGTTGTCTATTGGAATTCAATCGGATCTGTTGTGAAATAATCACTCATTGAAGATCATTGTGGATGGTGGTGAAATTTTATGGATTGGTTGGAGTTTAGCATTAACACCGTTGAATGTTGGCCAACTCAGTGGTCTAGACGTTAGGCGTACATGTACGAGACTGATAGGTCCTGGTTTCGAATCCCGTGGGACGGGATCGTTGATACGCATTGTTGAGAAGTCCCATACTAGGACAGAACGGTCGTCAAGCAGTGCTTCCAGGTAGTTCAGCTTCAATTATCTCATGATCTCGACTATTGAAAATTACTATAATATCTGATAATAATCATCATATTCTCACTGGTGTTGGTTTTCAAGATGTATTTCCTAGAGTTCTAATGATAAGCCGTGACCAGTGGAGTACAACTGGGTCTGTTGTGAGATAGTAAGTCAATGAAGACAATGGAGGACAATTGAGCGATATTGTGGATTGGTTGAAGTTAGACATTAACATCGTTGAATATCGGCCAACTCAGTGGTCTAGAGGTTAAGCGTTCTCGTGCGAGAGTGAAGGTTCTGGGTTTTGAATTCAGCGTGTGAGATAGTGGTTAGGCAGTAGTGAGGAGTCCTATATTAGAACGAAACGGCTGCCAAGTGTTTTCAGTTTTTCACTGGTAATCTAACATTGATCAATTTATGATCCCAATCAAAAACTTAACAATCTCCACAACCCTATACTCATAATAAATAATGTGGCATTAAGTGAGTCTATTTCGTTTAGTACACTCTTAAATGCCCACCAGCACTCTCTATACAACTCTTGCATAGGCAATCCTTTCCAGTTGATTCCAGTTGCTATTCATTCTTTTCATATCTGCGTCCAATTTCCGGCGCATTGTGCTCTTTGGAATTTCTCTTTTCCGTTTCCCTTCATGATTCCAAGTTAGCAGTTGTCTTGTGTTGCAGTTAGATAACTTCTTAAATTTGTAACCTATCCTCTTCCAACGTCTTTTCCTAATTTCCTCTTCATCTGGAAGCTGGTTTATCCCCTCTCACAGTAGGCTGTTTAGTTTAATACTGAATAATAATTATTGACTATTTTACAGAATCATACATAATTTAGTCAGCCAAAAGGACTATGTGTAGGATAAACAAAATGATAAAGTTGTTAGTAATTAAAGAGAAGCAGTAGTACAGTGAACATGGCCCCCAAATACCCTGGTACGGTCGAAAGTGGAGAGAGTCAACTCTCCCTCTCGAAATGCCATGTGCATACAACCACTGCCAGGAAATTCTTACTCACTGCCTTCTCGTGGCGAGGGGTGTTGTTTACGAAATTGAGAAAGCGAAAAGTGAATATCTCTGGACCTACATTTCGTGCTCTTTAGCACTCATCAACAAGTTGTACCTGTAATCTTGAGGGAACTGATACTTCCTAACGGGTTTGACTACGTATCACTCAGTTTCACAATCAGAGACGTTACCGCTAAGCTACTCGGGCTGCAACTGACCCCATATAGGATTGAGATGCAATACAATTGATTGATTACTGAGTGGTGACGAATGCCAAGTACAACGAGAAGTTCTAGCGTTTCCTGTTGACTACATCCGATCAACATTTTATTTCAACATAATGTACACCATATTGCAACTTGATCGATAGGATTCAATCTGAATTAAGAAGAACTTGATACACATGGCATCGATCATTATCCAATAATTAATCAATGTTCAATTTTCTTTTTAAAGAACTTATTTCACTTCTTCTCCTCTACCTTATTGTTATAATGATGAAATTCATATGAATGTTATTCATACATGATATAAACGCTTTCTCCCTCCTAACCCCTCAACTCTCCCCCCTCTCTCCCCCCTCTCTCTCTAATTCAAATTATAATCCATTTCCTATGGATACATGTATAGACAAACATAGAGAATGTTCTTTTCTTTCTTTAATCCACTTTTTTTTTAAAGGGGCATAGAAACATAAACATGAAATTAGATTCTGTTCAAGTTTCAATTCGATTTCATATTCGAATATAAAAGAGAGAAAAGAAGTGAAAGAAAAAAATTCTTTGTTGTTTTTTTAAATTTTCCATGAAAAAAATTGAAAATTTATTTTCATTTTATTTAATAAATTTCATTGTCAAATGAATTATGTTTTCTTAATTGATAAAGAAATATCATTAAACAATGACAATAACAACAACAACAACAACAACAACGATAACACCCAAAAGGAGAAAAACCAACGAGAAAAAAACCAAAGAAGAAAAAATAGAGTGATGATGACGACGATGAGGAGGATGGGGAGGAGAATGGTGGCCATTGATCGTCAATAACTCCGCCTGTAGTCCCTACTGCAAGTCCCAAGTCCCGGATATAGGAGAAGGGTTGAGCATGGGATTGACGATCCTATCCTGTAGAAAATTAACTTGCTAAACAAAAACGCTAATACCTAGTTGCGTCACGAGGCCAACCCTTACTTGATATCCTCATGGCCAAAAAGAGAAAAGGAAAATCAAAGAACATATTACTCCGAGAAATGGAGAAAGACATGAGAAGGATGAACAACAATTGGATAGAACTAGAAAGGAAGGTGGAAGACAGAGTGGGTTGTAGAATGCTGGTCGGTGGTCTGTACTCTATTGTGAGTAACAGGAGTAAGTAAGTAAGTAAGTAAGTAAGTAAGTAAGTAAGTGTTGAAGTAAGTAAGTAAGTAAGTAAGTAAGTAAGTAAGTAAGTAAGTAAGTAAGTAAGTAAGTAAGTAAGTAAGTAAGTAAGTAAGTAAGTAAGTGAGGAAAAAAGGAATGAAGGAAGGAATTGATCGTTAATCGACGAGTTTTTATCCGAATCTTTCTCCAAACCGTGTGGTTCATATGACTTATTATTATGAATAATATCGCTGACAAAATTTTTTATGAAGCTGATCACAGAAGTATTCGGCTAAGTTAGAAACGGCTCCATTATACTTGAGTGAAGTTAGATAACAGTCGATTTTTACAACAAACTGACTTTATTTTTTGAAGGAAAAACAGAATAATTAGTTACTGCCTGCTAAGTTATGAGGAATTCCATAGGTTATTTCAAAGTTTGAAATGAAGAAACGAACACTTACACATAAGTAGTAATAGAATTGTTCTATTTAGGATTAGTCAATTGGATGTACTTTTACACTATAGTTAATGTTTACTGCTGGATTCGAGTCCAGTACCTTTTTTTTACTTTAAATGAAATCCCTTTATTCGCTTAGCTACTCATAAGATTTATATATAAATACGAGTGGAAGTTATTTTGCTCTTTCTCTCTTTCAACTGGGTGTCAGGAAACAATATAGTGAGCAGGAATATAATTGAGGACAATCAAATATATTTGAATACAATATTACAGAATCTCTTCGTATAATCTGAGAATCATACAGTAAATGCTTCATTTGCAAAATGTCAATCAATCATCTTAGGCTTGACAGTTCTTCTGTTTCCACACCAATCGTTCTTTGTTCTTGTTCTCTTTGATTTGATCTTCTTAACATTCTTTCGCTAGTCATTTCACTTTCGATTGATAAAACATACTACTTATATCATTCAACTTCAATAGCACACAGCACACTATACTACTACTACTACTACTACTACTACTACTACTACTACTACTACTACTACTACTACTACTACTACTACTACTACTACTACTACTACTACTACTACTACTACTACTACTACTACTACTACTACTACTACTACTACTACTACTACTACTACTACTACTACTACTACGACGACGACGACGACGACGACGACGATGACGATGACGACGACCACTAACACTACTACTACTCCTATTAATGATATAAGTAAAAAGTAATACTCAATATAGATTTCTTTCTTATTGAAACAAACCTACATTGAATATCAACAATTGAAAAGTCAATCAATTGAAGTAAAATTAAAATCTTTATTAATTAGTTAATGACTTTCTTAAATTTCCCTTCTTTTTCTTTTTAATTAAATTGATGAAATTGGTGTTGTATTAGATAAGAGCTGGGTGGGTGTGTGAGTGGTTGGTTGGTTGGAAAAAGGATGAAAGCAAAACTTTTGTTGTTTAGATTATTATTATCATCATCATCATCATCAATTTATTTGTTTACTTATCATTTTATTTCTCCTTAATAAAGTTTTGATTAAGTTTCTAAGTCATAAAGTTGCGTGAAGCATTAGTAAAGTAATAACTGATGACAATGTGGTGATGGTGGTGGTGGTTGTGGTGGTGTTGGTAGTGATGGTGAAAGGGGATGAGGACGAGGAGAAGGAGGACAACAACAACAATGCAGATGGTTGATAATTACCATGAATGGCGTGTGTATATATATATATATATATAAGTCTGTTTAGTGATTAACTCAAATATTGATAATAAAATAAGATCTCTATAGTCAATATATCTTAACTATTGAATTTGAATAGCTTGTTTACTCAGTTGTTTTCAATTGTTTATTGTCAGGTGGTTCATATTACTTGAGGTTATTACTTTAGATGATATATATACACCTTTACTAATGAATATTGTTAGAGGTAAAAGCTGATAAAGGTGACTTACTTACATACCTATCTACTTACTTACTTACTTACGCCTGTTACTTCTAATGGAAGATAGATCGCCGACCACCATTCTCAAACCCACTCTGTCCTCCACCTTCCTTTCCACGTCTATCCAATTGTTGTTCATTCTTCTCATGTCTGTCTCCATTTCTCACAGTAATCTGTTCTTTGGTCTTCCTCTTCTCCTTTCGCCTCAGGAACTCCATGTGAGGGCTTGCCTTGTGACGCAGTTGGTTTACGGATCTCAATGTGTGTCCTATCCACTCACAGTACTTCTTCCTCATTTATTCCGACACTGGAATCTGGTTCGTTCTATCCCATAGTAGGTGGTTGTTGATAGTGTCTGATCAGCGGATTCGAATTATTATGCGTGAACAACTGTTAATAAACACCTGTATATTCTGGATGATGGCTTTTGTAGTTCTCCAAGTTTCCACCTCATACAGTAGAACTGTTTTGACATTTGTATTGAAAATTGTGACTTTAGTGTTAGTTGACAGACAGTTGTTTTGAATTCCAGATGTTCTTTAATTGTAGATATGCTGCTGTCGCTTTGCCGGTCCGCACCTTCATATCTGCATCAGATCCACCATGTTTATCAATGATGCTGCTCAAATATCTAAAGCTTTTTACATCTTCCAAAGCTTTTCTGTCAAGTATGATTCGTTTGGCTCATTTTGTTCTGTATTGAGACCTACTTCTATTGAGGCTGCTGCTACACTGGTCGTGTTCTCCTGCATTTGTTGTTGTGTGTGTGATAGAAGAGCCAGATCATGTGTGAAGTCTAGATCATCCAGCTGCATCTTATCTGTCCACTGTATCCCATGCTTCCCTCAGATGTTTACATCTTGATAATCCAGTCGATCATCAGGAGAAAGAGAAAGCGTGAGAGTAAGCAACCTTGTCTGAGGTGGAATTACAAATTATAATTATCCTTCATAATTTATTCTAAAAATATTGTAGGGTTAATAATTCATATGTAATCATATAAATGACCTTTGACCTGTCCAAGCAAAGCTTCCCTTATTTGTATTACTACTTTTGCAAACGTTCATAGTGCATTGATTTTTGAAATGATCCAAGTCTCCAAGTCTCCAAGAGAGTCAGGATTATTAGTTTAAAAGTTTTAATTTTAATAAGATTATAGCTGAAGGAAAACGGAAAAGAGGAAGGTCGAAAAACACAATACATCAGATATTGAAAGCAGATATAAAAAGAATGAATAGCATATGGAAAGGGTTACCCATGACGGAGTTGGATGGAGAGTGCCGGTGGTCAGCCTATCCTCCCCTGTGAGGTGTAACAGGCGTAAATAAGTAAGTTTCTTTAAAGTATTCACGACTTCCTGTTGACTCCCTCCAACGACCATCTTATCTCAACATAGTGCTCGCAATGTTGAGTCACCTAGTCTAGTGGCCACATTGCAAATTTTGTTGATAGGAGACAATCTGCACTAAGAAGGATCTGACACGCATAACATTGATCATCATCTAGTGATCGATCAATTGCGAATATATCTCAGTCCTACAGGATGTCAGCTGCGGACCGGATAGACCATTGGTAACACCTCTGAATGTGGAGTTGGGTGACAGGCGACTGAATCCTTCAAGATGATAGGTAAAACTTTCTGACGAGTCTCAAACAGTACGAAACCCCAGTTCAAGGTTTTTTGTTCACTAACTCCAACTATCTTACTATCCAGAACCATATTACAAAAGGAATAAATTAATGCACCTCAGCATTATACAGTGTGATCTGAATCTTTTTATCTAAATGATGATACTTATTCTGTTAAGTTTGATTTGATGAAACATTTTCAATTTAATATGATTAGACGATATCACCAGTCAATATTACATTACTATACAATAAGTCACCTTTGAATAATTTTTTCTGGTCAGCATTTTTGTTTAACGAGTTAGTATTCTATGGGATGGGGTCGTTAACCCCATGCCCAACCCTACTCCTTGATCCGGGCTTGGGACCGGCAGTAGACCCAGAGGGGCTCCAGGCGGATCGGAAAAGCAAGAGCAGCATATCTACAATTAAAGAACATCTGGAATTCAAAACAACTGTCTGTCAACTAACACTAAAGTCACAATTTTCAATACAAATGTCAAAACAGTTCTACTGTATGAGGTGGAAACTTGGAGAACTACAAAAGCCATCATCCAGAATATACAGGTGTTTATTAACAGTTGTTTACGCATAATAATTCGAATCCGCTGATCAGACACTATCAACAACCACCTACTATAGGATAGAACGAACCAGATTCCAGTGTCGGAATAAATGAGGAAGAAGTACTGTGAGTGGATAGGACACACATTGAGATCCGTAAACCAACTGCGTCACAAGGCAAGCCCTCACATGGAGTTCCTGAGGCGAAAGGAGAAGAGGAAGACCAAAGAACAGATTACTGTGAGAAATGGAGACAGACATGAGAAGAATGAACAACAATTGGATAGACGTGGAAAGGAAGGTGGAGGACAGAGTGGGTTTGAGAATGGTGGTCGGCGGCCTATCCTTCATTAGGAGTAACAGGCGTAAGGAAGTAAATTATAATTTGTACATTCGATTCATCATTGATTAATGACCTATATCATGTTTTTATCTTAGTGGTAATTGCTTCACTTAGACTATTGGCTTAATTACAACTTGAATCATAGAACTCTATCAACACTCAGGTTTAGACAAATATGAAATCGGTCACTACTCAATGACTTGTCAGTGTAATTATTCCTTTTGTAAGAAAGTATTCAAAAGTTCTTACTTCTAAATTAAACCTATTAACTTGCCTAAATTTGATCAGGGTTTAGTTTAATGCATAATTAGGAAGGTACTTTCGGCAAGCTAATTAATTACTTACCGATTATGGTTCCTGACAACGTAAATTCCATTTCAGGGATAATCTCGGACTGCCATCACTTATGGAATTTTGTATGCAATAACTTAATGGTTCTAAAAGTTGGCCCAATTCAGTATTATGATGGTCCTTGCAAGGTGGCAGTGTTCTCCTCAATGCTTGAAGATCTTTTAAGTTCAATCTATAGTATAGCCTTAGACACACATCAATGAGTCATCTAATACTAGAACGAGATAGCTACCGAGTACTTTCTAGTTTTTAACGGTTGCCTTACTAAGATCAATGAGTGATGTGGAACCACAAACTATAATGTACTAGACTGATAGTTGTATTTTTTTGGGGGGGGGGGTGAGAACATATTTATATAGATAATAATAATGATAGTTTAAAAATTAGTTAGCACAGGATGAAACAAAACAAATGGTTAATTAAATGATATGTTTACAGTTGATTGATCATTGGGTGGTGATCAAGGTCATGTATTTCAGGTCCTTTTTAGTGTAGATCGAATCCTATTGAACACGTTGCAATGTGGCCACCAGTCTAGGTGACTCGACATTGCATGCATCATGTTGAGATAAGATGGTGGTTGGAGTTAGTGAACAGGAAAACCTCAACCTGGGTTTTGTGCTATCATCAGAAAGATGGACCTCTAATGTTGATGGAACTGATACTCCCTGACGGATTCGATCTCGTGTCACCCAGCTACACAGTCAGAAACTGACCTCATGTAGGACTGAGATGTATTCACAATTGATTGATCACTGAATGGTGATCAATGTCATATGTAACAAATCCGAATAACACGAAACCTGATTCCAGAATTTTCCTATTGACTACTTCTAACCATCATCTTAAATAATATATTATCCATCATGATTGATTATCTCTCATTCAATTCTCTATAGGATCATAACAAAACATTTATCATATTACCTTACTCAATCTAAGCGTTCGCTCGCGAGCGGAATCATCGATGCGTACTGCTGAGGAGTCCCACAATAAGATGAAACGACCGTCCAATACTTTCAGGTTTCTAACAGTGGTCTAACATCAATCGGTTCATGATCTCAATCAATAACTTATTAATCTCCACAACCCCTATACTGATGTAATAAATAACTTACAAAAGGATTTGATTGATAATGTTTTAAAAAAGGATTAATGTACAATATACATGTAACTTGAACATATAAATGTAATTAAGAATTCGATTGCTTACAACTTCATTTATTGTTTATATTATAGTTATGGGTTTATATGGTATGGATAATACTACTAATAACAACAATATAAATAGGGTTACCAAGTTTAATAATCGGATTAATTAAAGAACATGTCACCAATCCTTTTAAACATTTTCTAATAATGATAATGACGATGATAAAGATGATCAACGA